CGTATGCCCTCACAGCCAGCAGCAAGATATCCGACAGAACCGATGAACTGCATCAAGAGCTCCTTGGAGGTAGGTGTCTTCCAGTTGATAATTTTGTCTACCTTATGCGGATCCAGGCGTATCCCTTGGTTGTCTATGACGTGCCCCAGAATGGTGAGCTCGTTCTTAAAAAACTGCAGCTTATGTTCACTTAAGTAGAAATGATTCTCTCTCAGGGTGTCGATGACAGTCTTTACATGTCGGACGTGGTCTTCGGCTGAGTCTGAGTATATGACGATATCGTCCAGGTATACATCCATGAAGACGCCGATGTAAGGACCAAAGATATGGTTCATTAGTGACTGGTAAGTGGCTCCAGCGTTGCAATCACCGATTTGCATGACATGGCTAATCATCGTGCCATCGGGCGTTGCAAATAGGGACTTGGGAACATCTTCTGGTACGATTCGAATTTGTTCATATGCGTCCTTCCCATCAAGTAGGGAACGATACGCGTGGGACGAGACATTCCGCAAGATCGTATCGATATCAGGGAGTGGAGACGCCAGTTTTCGGGTGTTTTTGTTGCGCTGTCTCGTGTCAAGGACAGTGCGTAGTCTGAGCTCTCCATCCTTAGTTGCCTTCTTCATCATGATCATAGGTACCGCGTTAGTCCCGCTGAAGAATTCCCAACGACCCGTGCGGATATAGTCATCTCGCTTGTTACGCCAAAGGGGGCGCAAGGCTTCTGGGCATTTGGACTGCCTCCAAGCGTAGGCGTGGCCTTCGTCGACAAGAGGAATGACGTGATTGATTGCTCGAAGTGGAGGTAATGGTGTGTCTACAGCTTCTTTGCAAATATCACGTGAATATTGACGAAGTTCTTCAATGTAGGTCTTTATTTCCTCTGAGGACACGTCAATGCCTCGCAGTTCAAGAACTTGCGTCTGCGCGCCGCGGATGGGTAAAGGCTCGATACTACGTATCTTGATTTCAGGAGGATTAAAACCTAACAGTACTTGGTGTTGAAATAGGAACGGCATCCCTAGGATGATGTCGTATGATTCAAGGTTCGCGATGTCGAAGGTGCGTGGACACTTGATGTCCTGGTACTCAAGTTCGGCAATTGTCGTGGCTTTCACAGAACTTCTGGAGCCTGAGACGGCTAGTTGGAGGGGGATGGGCTTCTCTAACAGTGCGTATTTCAATTTTAATTGGTCTACGATGGTACTTGAAACGAAATCGGTCAGGGACCCAGAATCGAGTAACGCTCGACACGGTTTTCCGTTTAGTAGGACTACCACTACTAGGGATTTCGGCAAGAGCCTTGACTGTGGTCTTCGGTCTAGCTGCTTGTCGCTGGAGGGTGCGAAGATCGGGTAAGTCTGGTTTCGTCCGTGAAGCCATCCCGCAGAATAACTCACCAGAAGTTTTAGGTTCGTCGTCATCGTCACTGGATTCGCATGTCAACAGGCCAGGGACATCATCGTCAGAGTCTTCACTCTCAGAGTTGGAGAAGTCGCTACTTCCCCATTCCTGAGGTCACCCAGGAGGAGCTTTCTGAGTCACTGCAGTCAGTAGTGTCACACTCAAGACTGTCCGCAGTGCTTCTGATCCCGGACCGTTCGAGGGACTCCCTGGTCCTAACAAGGTGCTCTTGATTGTAGAGCTTTAAAATGGTTAGCCATTCTACGATGTCAAACGACGGGTCGCTCAATTGTGAGTAATAGATAATATACTCATCTTGGTTGTGCTTATCGCTTAAAAGGTAAGTCTCCTTGTCTCCCCAGGTCGTTAGACTAAACCGGTCTTGTCTGAAGGGACTGCAGATTGGGTCAACGAGTTCATCCGAGAGTAGCGGGACTGGCCAGTCTGAGCTTAGCCAATGCACGGTGAGTTACTACCAGATGTTTAGCATGTTCTAACTTCTCAAGTTGGCTTAGATCTTCGATCATGTTGACGGCAAAGCCGTAGAGTCCCTGGGCAGTTCCTTCTGCGATGGCCGCAGTTCGGATATCCGCGGAGGTCACTCCTACAGCGTTCGAGCGAAGGGAGTTAGTCTTTGGTTGCTGGTAAGGAGGTAGACGGTGACGCTTGGGACAGTCTTTGGCGAGGTGACCAGTTTGTTCGCATTCGAAGCACTGATTAAGTTCCCTTAGTTTACGGATGGTCTCAGAGCTCTTAGCGTTGCGAGGAAGGTGCTCACGGCCAATTGATTTGTTCCCTGGACGTCTAGAACTCTTATTACCTTGGTGAGTCCTAGCTGATGATGAACTATTGTGGTTGACAGCAGTTTGCAGCAAGAGATTGTGTCCGGGGACGATGGTCTCTTCGACTACTGCGGCGATCACGACGTTGAGTCCGGGACTCGTGGTCAGCGGCTCCAGCGGCCAACGTGGGGTTTAGGGCAATGAGGACGTTGGGGTCTTTTAAGTTTTCAAGGAACGCTCGTTCGGTGCGTAAGGCTTTCCTCTCGATCGTGTCCATACTAACGGTGTTAGGGTCGTAACCCTTATCTACTAACGAAGCCTTGATATACGGCTTACAGTTCATCCAGAACTGGCGTACGAGTTCCCTCTCGTCAACGTCACCTGTTGTATCGGCGATGTTTCGGAGGCGTCGTATGTAGTCCTGCACTCCTTGTTTCCCGTCCTGACGAACATTCTAGGAACTTCTGACGCTGCATCATCCTGAAGTCCGTTGGGAAGGAATAATCGAACAATTGTTCGAAGAAATCGGTAAGCGTATATTTCTTTTTAAGATCAAGGACATCGCGCTCATAGAATCGATAGGCGTTGCCTCCCAGGTACTTTCCTATCATGCTTATAGTTTGTTTAGTGGAGAGTCTCGCTCTGTCTCGCCAGTCTCGTACTTCGCGAACCCATTTCTTAAAAGTGGACGCGTTAGCTTCTCCGTTGTAAGTGAATGGTGGTTCGTGCTTCAAGAAGCCTTGCTGATATTTTAGTAGGTTCAAATTTGACCTATGCTTACGACGGGCTTTTCATTTGAGGCGCTTGGTATCTTCAGAGTCACTGCTGTGGTCCGACTCTGGCTCCATCTGCAGTAGCTTCGCGTTGAGGTCGTCGGAGGATTCCTCCTCTGAGGCTGCACCGGTCATGAACGTGGTTGATGTCCTCGATTTCCCTCTGTCTTTGCGTAACTGATTATTACGTGTAAGTGTCTTCAATCTCTTCTTGTCCTTACTGATGTGCCTTGTTTCTTCGTCAGAGGATTCAGTGGATGACCGGTCGTCGTCAGGACCAGGTCCCGATGGCGAATCTGACGAGTCTGGGTCGCTAGGGTCACCACCAACTATAGCTCGTTTGACCAAGCTTTTGTCTGGGAGGAGGGAAGACGCCCTCCAGAACCTGGTGTTCTCTTTGACAGGTCTATCAGTAGGCTCTCTTATGCTTGGTGGGTCATCGTTTATCACCGTTGCGTGACGTCGCTCATTCACGTTCGCAGCGTTCTCTAATGGGGGGGCTGGCGCTGGAGGTGCGCTGTCTGGGGGTGGATCTGGAAGAGGCGCGCGTTGTGCCTCTCGGATCAGCTTCTGCGCCATCTCCTCCCTGGTCTGTGCCTCGATGACCAACCTCTCGAGCTCCTTGACACGGTCAAGTAAGTCGTCGACTTCTTCACACTTTTGCGCGTAATCTTCCTTGGCAGATTTTCGGAATCCTTTCAGGGCGAAGTTTTGGATCCTAATTGATCCTGCCCGGTTTTCGTCGTCCCACAGACGACGGAGAGATTCATCGGACTCGTTCTCCCTGGGCCGATTCAACTCTGCCATCTCCTCATCAAAATCTGTCCAGTCGCGCAGGTGGTCCGTGAGCGACCTGAGTTTAGGTTGGTTGTTTTCTTTACTTTTCTCAAAGCTATCCTTACTGATTTCGGGTTTACTTTCACTAGCCGTTGGACTGGGCTTAAGTGCGGGGAACTCAGGTACATTTCCTAGCTCGTCGTCATCGGTTACCTCTGACCAATCGAAGACTGCTTGCAGACGCGGTACATTATCACTATCGGGCGACGTGAAGGTGCGTAATCGCCCAATTATAGGGCCACCAGTAGGTAACTCGCTGACTGGTGCTACAGGACCCTCATCATTATGTGTGATACGGGTGGTGGCGGCTCCTGCATTGACCAGCAACGGGGCACTGCTCTGGGCGGGGCTGCTCGCAGCATCCTTCGCCTGGGTGGACTCCGTGTCCACCTCGTTCAGATCGCGTGGACCGAACCTGGAGGGAAGCTCAGCCATTGGGCTGTCATTCCCATCGTCTCCAGAAACAGGGTTACTGTTTCGAGACCTCACGCCGTCTTGCTCGTGGGCGCGGCCATCAACGCTCACGTTCCTCGAGGAACGTGGGGAGGCAATTTCTAGTGCACTAGTCGACATTACTTTTTCTTTTGACGATATCGTTGGGGTGGGGGAGAGTTTTTGTGTTAACAAGAGTCGAAGTTTTTGGAGGGTGATCAAGCCTCTTAGACAACGACTATAGCGGAATAGATTTTAGATTTAAAGGCAGTTAAAAATATGTGGCGTTCGTTGAACGTTCACACGAGAAAGAGTCGATTGGTTTGAATCGTCTTAAGGTTCGAACAGGATAACTGTCCTAACTAAATGTTATTCAAAAGGGGGGATGAAAATCAACTACCCTAACAGTAGATATACGTCGGTTTATATACTGTAGGGAAAGAACTCTATGGAATAAGACAGAATGAGTGAATATGAGTATCTAAAGAGACTGATGAAAGTAAATATCGGTTGCCAACATCAATGCGTAGATGTTGGCTTTTTTAACGAGCGTTACATTCAGGCCCAAGCTATGGAAGTTGATATTAATCGATGACACATGATACAGGTCACCTGCTTTAACGTGTTGGACTGGTCCACACATTGCTTTTCTATCTTCCTGATTGCCGCTGACCTGCATATCTTGCAAGCATTATTATGAGCCAGTCCCATGGAACAAAGGAAATCGCGAAGGCCGGATTGGCGCCGAGCTAGAACATCAGGCCAACAATTTTGCAGAACACCCATGATTATTATTGCTTGCACAGCAACTCTAGATCCATGCAAAGTGCAAGTGATGGAAACTGTTTCGCCGGTCTAGATGAGTACCGGCAAGCCGCCGTATCGCCACCGTGATAGGCTATGTGACCTAGTGCGTGATTCACTCCTTGTTTCACGTGTATCCATCGACTTTACTGAATTGACCAGCGGGTGCGTGCAGGCAGTGTCGTAACATTGCGAGTATGTTATCTATCACCTAGAAGTTGCTTCATCAGATGGCTGGTGGTCTCTGTTCTTGTCATCTACACGACAGGAACCACGAGAGCTCGAAGCAGACACACCTGTATATATATGTACTTGCTACCCTTGGTCGTCCATTCGACTATGTTCTTACTCAAACTGTATCGCTTTCACGACTCTGAGTTTCAATTTGCTTTGTCGTCCAGAAAGTTCGTCGATAAACGTACGCTAACTTTCATTGACCGGCAGAACACTTCACCGGCACCACCATCACACCGAATAGAAGCATGAGAAGAACTTCGGCACAAAACTGACAAAGATATGATGAATGAATAGGATTGATGATGTATCATCGATTCATCCCTAGTAAAGCTGTGCTAGTAAGTGCCACTGTCCATCAGCTTCGCCTCCCGTTCATCACAGTGCATATATAGTAGTATATAACACTAGTCAGCTTTTCTTGATGCAACCCACAGATGGTACTGTGAGCTCTCAGATCTCAACGTTATCAACACTCGAGGGCACCCATACTTTGTTATGTCCCCACAGGTGCAGTCAGCGGGCATTAATATTGCTGTTCAGCAACTGCCTCTTGTCGTTCAAGTTGTATCATCCACTCTTGTGGTGTACGATCATGCTATCACGTTCGCTCAAGAAGTACTTTCGTCTTCACGGTCGATGACAGTCTAACCCTGATTCACCGCCTTCGTTTATTTAGGTGACTTTCTTTTGGTCCAGTTCATGGTCGCTGTCAAGAATACTGTATTTCATGGTAATGCCGTTACGAATCATATTATTCTTGTCAGTGACTAATTCTAGGTCCGACAGATCCGATACTTGGCTCTTGCGCAAGTTTGGTGTGTTTGACTCCATTTAATAATAAAAAATGCACTAGAAATGATAATATCTTTTAGTCTTAATTCTGTGACAAGAATAGGAGTAGCCAAGGCTCACAACGATCTTGTGAGTTTTTGAGCTGCGCATATCGTCGTTGGGGTCTTACATGCATTTTTCTATAGGAGTGGGCTGTTTTACATGACAGGGCAACAGACCAACTTACAGATTGACGTAGGTCTGCTATACTTGAATACACTGTTAGATTAACGGTCATGATTCTGTGCCAATGTATGTCCCTTGTACATTGATTGATTCCACTGAATCGACTGGTATACAGGTGTTATAACATTGCGAGTATGGCATCTGTTTCCTCGGAGTCGCTTCATCAGATGGTTGGCAGTCACTATTTTCACCGCTTGCTTGGCAGGAGGTGCAATATTTGACACCATCAAGTATAATGTAATCAAAAGTGCCGCGAAGACGAACAATACTTTAATATTCGCACAGTGCCGTACATTTTCATTCATCCTCTACCTGCCAGCCTTGGTTGTCCATACAACTATGTTCTTACTTACACTGTATCGCTTTCGCGTCACCCCCAGAACCTTGCAGCAACACGGGATGATCCACCGATTCGTCAAAGAGTAAGCCTCTATTGATCACAAGTTCTACCATGGAAGTTAATGTTTGCTTAGGGGAATGATCTTGTATTCGTTTGCAGCCGGTGAATATACCTCGATTCTCTTCGTTTTACAGATGCTCAAGCAAATAACAGGATCGCTACTGTACGAAATCATCAGTCTTTCTCTGGTTAAACCAGAGGACATATCCGTAAGTTTTATAGCTATAGCTGCATGAAAAATGCGTCACCGTTACCAGAATTATGGTTTAGGTGATATGGGAGAGTAAGATTGTTCCGTCCATGGTAGTTTACTAAAGTTCACGAGCAACACCTATCATCCAGAATAGCAATGGCAGCTACGGCTGTCTCTATCTGTCGCGCGATGCTAAGCATCCGGTGCTTGGCTGCAACTTACCATGTCGATCCGGCATGGTTGCTCAACCATGCGGAACTCAGTCGTGTCCAATGGAGGAGAGGGCACACTGAAGGAGAAATTTACGTTGAAGTCAGCGAGATGGATGTGGTTCTCCCGTCCAAATCTGCGGCATTACCTGATGGGAATATTGGAAGAGAAGACGAGGTGTAAAACCATACATTAACTTGTATATCTGGCACATGATTCCTTTTTTAATTTTATATATATCCATTCATGTCCATTAAGATGATGTCCTTGATCGACACATTTTTTGTAGAAACAGTACGGACTCCGGAGAAGCAGTAAAAATGAAGCCACATGTAACTACTCGTGTAAAATGATCATATATTCAAGTTACCTTGCGGAGCCTTGGAGTGATGCTGCACGGGAAGGGAAGCGGGTGACTAAAGGTCTTATTAGTCGAGACATAGAGAGGAACGAGAGCGAACACACATTGCGATACCACTGGACCATCGTGGTTCAAAATCAATCACCTCCCCATCTGCACCGATTCGTTTCGAAAATGTAAACACGGCAAGTAGGGAAGAAATTGCTATCCATAGAGATGCGTCTGCAAAATGTCGGCCAACACAAATCCTACAGTATCACAAGGATGTTCGATGGCATCTAAAAAGAAGAGATATCATGACAAACCTTCTCCCAAATCCAAATGCCATATTGACGGTATCGTCATTGAGGTTGCCATCAGCATCCAGGAAGCGCTCGGGCGAGAACTGCGAAGGATTTGGGTATTTCTGTTCATTTTGTGACATTGCCCTATAAAGCAGTTGGCCTCTGGATGATGATTCCCTGGACATGCAGACTCACCACACATTTGGCACAACGACGGTACCTGTTTACGAGGTTAGCAAAGAACTTCATCAGAAAACATGAAGTTTCGTGCCTTTGGGTATGTAGTATCCCTCGTAAACATCGCTGTCCACCGACGCATGCGGTATCGCTACACAATTCCGTAAGATATTGACGGGCGCCTAAAAACCGTACACGCACATAGGGGCAAAATCGGATGCCAACGAAGAGTTTCCCGGAGGATAGCATCGATATATTGCAAGGAGGATCTATCTTCGAAAGTCGGCAACCTCGACGCGCCAACGACAGCATCAATCAAAGTGTGGGCTTTCACTTGTACTTCTGGGAAGAGTACCATGGCAAGGATGAATACTTGGAATATCAAGTCCGTCTAAGTAAAAATCAGAGCACTGCAAGATAAGATACTCGAAAACTGAATACCGTTTCGGAAGCAGCTTCTCGGACAGTGCTCGTCATTGTTATTCGGGCATACTGTATCTGACTGGTACTCACCTCCAAACGCTGTAGCTGCACTTTCTTTGATAGTTGTGATCTCATCAGAAGTATCTTTTCCGCCGATCCGTTTGAGGGCATTTGAAACCATGGATGACTGGGCTTTCCCCTCAGCCTTTGGGGACATATTAGGTGCAAATATGGAGATATTTGACAGCATACCGTTCTTTCGAGCACATACTGGAAAGGATCGTGCATCCACTCACGTAGCCATTCACGTGACTGTATGGCCTTCTTCTTGAGCGACATACCAGGAAACCATGCTGGTAGTCGTAGAACTACATAAACAGTATTCAGTCGAGCCCAGAAAATACAACCAAAGACTCACGAATTGGGAATGCATTGAACACGGTAGCTACCTCAGGTCTGAGTTCCTGCACAGCTAACCTCAGTGACTTTCCAATAAGCTTCACTAATGGGTCGTCGTGTTTTGTTTCATAGTCATATGAAGCCGACATTATCACAGAAGATGAAAATCTGGCAGAGAATTAATAATACACCGCACTGGTCTGTACTAGGAGAAGACTTACACGTGAACATGGTTTAGGAATTCCTCTGGGGTATCAAGCATGTCACGAATAAGCTGCTCAGCCTTCCGCCGCTGCATTGGACGATAACATAGAGCTGCCTCTGCCTTGAATGCTTGATGAAATATCCTTCTTTGGCGACGCCAGCGAGCTCCGTATCGCATGAGTATGGTGTTGAAACCGAACCCAAAACTGTTGAAGACGCTATGTCAAGAGCTACGCTGGGTGGTATGTTAAATATGGCTCCTACAGAGCGTTTGTTGGAAGGTCCGGCCTGTCAGAGTAGTTGTATGACCGCTTCTCCAAAAGCTCAATCGCCACTTTCTCGGAGTTGATCACAACAATGTGTTGGCCGAAAAGATTCGAGTATACAATATCGCCTACCATGAGACCATTTAGCGAAATTCAGTGCGTTCATATTTTTACGATGTTTCCATGTTATGCACGCACCGTATTGTTTGCCCCATTCCGTGTAAGCTAACCATGGTGCATTGATGTCAACCCCCCGGATATTACCAATGAGTGGAATAGGCCGCGGTCCCGGCGGCAACGGAGGCACTCTTCGCTTCTCCATGCCACGACGGACCGCACCAACAAAAGTGGCACAGATCAAGGCGCCGATGCAGATGTCTCTCCAGTCCAACGACATGATGGGATGAGGAAATGGGGTGTTTCGAGCACCTCCATTTATATGTATGCTGAAGCAATTTTTTTACCTGACTCATCATCATTAAATTGCGACAGTGTATTAGTATTCGCGTCCAGGGCTGCACAATACATTAATATTATTTGTGGCGCGCTTCGCGAATGTGATCGGTGTGCTATTGTATAGCATCGGTCCGAACGTTAGTACGACTTTGTACTTGTTCCGGTGAGCACTACTTACTAGGGGGACTAACATGTCTTGATAACCGGGTAATCAGTAGCTGCGGCAGGTCTAGGTGTTTACAGGCATGCTGATGATGATTCGAAGCTTTAAATCTCTTCTCTTAGGTTTCCCTCAGGCTAGCATACAGCTAATTAAGCGAGGAGTCACGGAGCTCCAGACGTGCATTAAAAGACTGCCCAAAGGTCACCTTACTCGTGTCTACTACGTTTGTCTCATGGCACATTCGTATCTTCAAGAAGTGCTCACGAATCGATATCTTTTTACTGTATCACAAGAAACACGTTTTCTGCATGCACCGTCAGCATGTCTATGCTTCTTCCGCAACACCCTTGCAAGTGGACGATGAGGGCTCGTCGGCTCAAGGCTACATCGCTCCTTGTCTTCTTCCCTCTGCCAGAGTGGCCATTCAGGTGGACTTCAACAGCTGCTTCACCGACTGTTAAAAAACCTACACTCAGTCGTAAACAACCACTTTCGGTATGTCGGGGTCCATTCTTTGGCTAGCTGAGTACCAATGTCATGCGTCTAGCTGGTCGAAATGCTTCCCTTTGCCTCATCAATCTGTATCCTTGGTGCTCTCGTCTGTGGCTCTTTCGCACTACAAAGCTCTCCGACAGTTTCTAGTGCTCCCGATGTCAGCAGCTCGAAAATATACACAAGTGCTATCTCAAGTGTCATAGCTGCGGTGACGCCCATGCTTGCTTTAATATACTTTTGTCCACTCTACCTTCTGTATCGGCATTCAAAGCGGCACCCAAGGTCGATCAATAAGATATCTGGAGCGCGAGTTCAGCAGTACGGCCCACGTTAGTATTTTATCCTCACCTATTGCTGCCTCGTTGTTGACGCACCTTGACCTTGCATTGCCTAGTCGTGTATGTATTCTTGCTGGCTGTTAGCTTGGCAGAGGTGAGAAGAATGATCCAGCTTTCGTACAGAAACATGCATGACCTCTTTATAATAGGTCGCAGATGCCACTTGGTTGTTGTTGCAATTTCGCTTCAATAACAATGCACCTGATCCCATTACCCGCAGTGGTGTACGCTTTCTCTTGTGCGTTTGTTTCGCGATCTGAGGTAATATACAATTGAGCATGCAGTCAAATAGGTTTTCAGCCTGTTGGACAACTGTGACCTCAGGCACATACACTTTGTTCTTCCTCGATCCCTTGTGGTCCAGACGCCCAATTGCGTCTATAGGTACACAAGCAGTCTGGGTGCTCGTGACATGGATATTCTGGGTTGCCGGAGCAGGTCTGTTCAACAAGTCGTTCCCTCGTTTGTTCATGAGTGGATCATGCGATGGGGTTGTGTATTGTGGTCAATTGCAAGTGCTCTTTGGTTAGTAAGCTGTTGCGTAAGGGATGTACGTAAACTGATAGGCAATTTCAGCCCTTGCAGTTGTTCAGATGTGCGTATGTCGAGATCATCTTGGATTGTTAACTGACCACGTTCAATAGCCTCACCTTGACCTTTGGAATGCTTGTGATTACCTGGCTTGTTTGGCAATCGGCTCGCAGTATTTGCCATCCGATGGTTATCCGTGTTGCAGCCGCTATATAGGCACCACTATAATTCTAGCGAGTAACTTTGAGCACCGCCCTCGAGGCCATTTCCGCATTACCGCCATAACTAGTTACGCTCTAGAGTCTCATGAACAATAGTGACTGCTGTATTATATGGGGCTCTGGTAGATACGTCACAGTGTGTAGCATAAATATTATGTTGTGATTCATTCAATTTGCCACTGGAGCTGGCGCTGGAGCACGACTATGCTTCCGTTCCGTCTCGGAAATAGCACGATATTGATTGGCCAGTGTAGCAACGGGAAAAACCGGCGACCTTTCGGCTCGATCGGGCTCAAATCATTTTTGAAGCGAAAAAGTTGCCATACCAAAAGTATCCGCTGGTCCATCACCATCTCGCCTTCCAGGCTCTTCTGTAGTTAATCCTTTTCTCTTTCTTCACCTCATAGACTTTCACAATGCCTTACGCTCCAGGTATGCTCATAGTTTCTGCTGCAGGGCGGAGGCTGACTCTGTTTAAGGTGACGCTGGTAAGGGTGCTGCTATCTTCAAGAGAAGTTGTGCTTTGTGCCACACCGCCGGTGCTGGCGAGCCCAACAAGGTTGGCCCTAACTTGCATGGGTAAGTGCATTTGTTACTGCTCTTGACCCTCGCTGAGCGTCTCCCAGTCTTTTCGGTCGCAAGACTGGCTCTGTAGCTGGTTTCTCGTACACGGCGGCCAACGTGAAGAAGGGTGTTATTTGGGGAGAGGACACTCTTTTCGAATACCTTGAGAACCCCAAAAAGGTTTGTCGCGGGCGCGGATTGCTTCTGTGCATCATCCCAGACTGATGCGCTTTGAATTTTTGCACAGTACATCCCAGGAACCACTATGGCTTTCGTTGGTCTCAAGAAGGAGAAGGACAGGAATGACCTCGTTACATACTTGAAGCAAGCGGTACGTCATTTTCCTCAAGCATAGCTGTGAGATCCAATGCCAACGATTTGTTCCCGCTCCAGACGGCCTAATTTTATATCCACCACGGACATCCTATTCATACAGACTACAGATATAGTACGGCTTTGCATCAGGTCTTAGTATACTAGACGGCCACCCTTGCTCGCATCTCCTTGCATCCTTTACCCCCGCTCATACAACGATATACTTTTTTCTTTTGTCGGTAGTCGGCGATATGTCAAGTTGCCTCCATGCACCACAGGATAAGTGGAGTGATCAGCCTATTGGCAATGACATGCAAAAATATATGGTGCGTAACACTATTATGTTCCGGCGCAAATCTACGTGTTTCTATTGAATACATGAGGTTGAAAGAAATAGATGAATAATTAAACATTGTACTTGTCTGCAGAGGGACGGAAGGTGCTATTCCTCTCATGCATCGTACATGACCATATAGGACGGGCGGATAGCGTCATTCGTGTAACATACAAGCTCATCATAATTCAACGATCCTCCACTCGCCACCTCCGCGAGGACCTAGACTAGTTGAGAGCAAGTACAAAAGGCGAGAGGCAGGGCACATACAGAGTCATAACCAGTTGGAGGTGCGGTTAGTGATGTGTTGTCTTGGGTCATCTTGTGACCTTTGCCAACAACCACTTTGTTTAGCAATATTGCCTTCAACATCGATGGATTAACATTCGTGGAGTAGTCGTTCGATTTCGATGACGTCGACGAAGTATAGATACCGTGACCAAACCTGACATACGCGTCAAGATACCACGATTGATTGGATATAAAGGGTGACATACCGGCCCCAGCCAGTCTTCTTGCCAAAGAGATTCAGGTTGTAGGACGTCTTGAGAATGCAGCACAGAGAACATGTCTGAGATGGGCACAACGTGCAGTTGCCATTATCGCCCAGATTGCATTCCCTGGTCGTTCCGTGCCAGCGGCGGTTCTCGTTCCCTGCCGAACGCCCAGCTGCAACAAAGTTGCCGCGACTCTCGACAGCAGCACTGCCCTGTGTCAGCCAAAACATCAGCATCTACGTGAACGAAGACTGACCGATATGCCTCGTATTTAGCAATGGAGGCTGGCGATGAGATCACTTTGTGCACTCTCCGAACTGTCGGGCATGGAGTCTGATGTCTCCACGATGCCTTAAATTGGTCAGCGACTACAGCACATAAACGTTATCGATCGCCCGCACTAACATGCGAGTGCTACTTACCGCTCTTGAACGTATCGTGTCCTTGTGGGACTTCTATGAGCCCTGGGGCATTCATCTCAGCCCTCGAGGTGCACGCCTGACTGCAGAAGTGACCCTTGCCCTTGACAGCCTTTCCGCACAACAAACAACCATTGGCTGTTGGACTGCATCGAGAAACGGTAGTAAGTACTGTCAACACCCGATGGAAGAATGATTGAACGGACTTGGTTGGTTGTGTAGGTTGTGCAGCCGACGCCCCTGCAGCCTTCGCTTTTTGTGCGCAGGTTTTGCCGCAGTACGAATGGGTCGTCGTGCCATCGTTGTACTTGGGTTGCTTGTGACAATGCTGCAGTGATACGTGTCAGTTGACTTTATCTTTAAATGAGTATCAATCACCATACGTCGCACAATCTGCGGGTGGCTTTGCTGGGCTTGTTTCGTTTAGGTTTGCTCTTGGGAACATGCTTGGTTTGTCCTGCAGTCGCGCAGGTCTTCCCGCAGTACGAGTGCGTCTTCTGTCCATCGAAGTACTTAGGACGGACTTTACAAATCTGTAAACGGCGTTGGCTTTTGAGAAACGAAGACCTTATTCGAATTACATACGTCACATATTGCGAGAGTCGCAGTTCCGGTGAACTGGGTAGACACATTAGCGGGCACAGGCTGTTTAGTTTGAGGTGTTTGTCCCTGCGAGGCGATGTACTGGCCAGCCATAGTGCCGAGCACAGAAAGTGCAGCATGCATGGGTGGGATCGTTGCATTCATCTTGCTGGTATCAGGGGTACTGGGCTTGTCTTAAGCAAGACGATGCTAGGATATGGGCTAGATACTCGGTGAATCGGGCTCTCCAGGAGCTTTGAGTCTTCGGATGAGTTGTGATCTGTGATGTTCGAAGCAAACAACAATTTATAGCTGACACACAGTCCATCATGGAGAGGGCCAATCGCTCTTCGATGAAACGCGTTTGGCGCGTGTTCTCCGCGAGGGAAAAGAGACACCGTGGACTCTGTGCAGCCTTGGAATCAAAGACACTGCATATTAGCACGGAGATCTCGTGATCCGAGCGAGCAGGATGATGCGAGGCTGGATAGTAATATGACAGTCGTATCGATTGGATGCACGATTTGCCGCACCAGTGCACCGTGCGCAGTTCGCGCATTTTCCTCTAGAGTACCATATAAGTACAACCGCATAGTATATCGATGGACATCAGGTCCAGACCATTATTGAAGCAGTTGCCGGAATAGCGTTCACCGCACGACCGATGCCGAGATATGCTCCAAGTAGTAAGCGTGTCTTGCCATATGTATGTAGGCCCGAAAGGTGTTTAGTCGCCACTCATGTGGTATTTAATATTGAACCCATGATAAAAGAAATTTCGTTTATCACTCGCGAACTGTAAGTGTGAGGACACGACGTCAGCGGTTTTGCGGGGCAACCTGAATGGGTGGTAGAAGCGAAAGGACTATGTAATAGCACAGCCACATCAAGTCTGAATCCACGCTTCCAACACGCTTCACTGCACAAATTTTCATCATTCTGCGGCGATATGTTAATGATACAAAAAGTAGATGGTTGCTTCGAATAAATGATTAAACAGTGCCCCTCGAGCGTCCCCATGCTTATCATGGATGCGAGGGTAAACTCAAGCGTTGGTTCATGAGACTAACGGAGTCTTGAATATCGTCGACATCAGGGTCTTAAAGCTTGGCTTGGGCGAATTTTTGGGTTTATGTCCATATACGACGAGATATGCAGGACGCACAGCGTCATTCGTGTAGCATACGGTTTCTGGGTCAAGCATGAAAGGTAAGTAAAAATACACAGATGAATAATCAATTTAAACTCGCCCTCATAGTTCAGGTCCCAGCCAATCTCACCAGTAATCTGCGATGATGTGAGTAGATGATTATCAAACGACGGGGGACTCACGGAATCGAAACCATCGGGAGGTTTTACGAGGTTAGGTGCATTCCTGTACCGTCTGTATGGCCTCCCGACTACAACACGATTGACTAGCAAGGTGCGGAGGCGTGCATCTTGTGAGAAGTTGCATGAATAATCGTCAGCTTCTGTGCTGCAGTTTAGCAGGTGTGCCGATGTAAAAAAGGAAGACAAACGGACTAGATGAGCAAGCAGAGGTATATATTCCATGCCCAAATCTACGATGCCAACCGTCAGAACGGCACACTAGATTCCAAATGCGCATTCTCACCTCTTGAAAGCGTTCTTCGTGCCTATGTAGTATTAGACAGTGGATAATAAAGTGATCGAGAAAAGCCTTACCGCATTTCTTGATATCAAAAGATGACCGTAAGATAGAACAAAGATAGCACTCTTTGAGGCCACACAGCAGAATGTTCCTCGACGTTTCTCCCAGGAGGCATGCCCTGTTTGTACCGTGGAAGAGCAACTTCTCGTTCCCTGCCTTATTCCGAGATCTTACGTGGGCCTGCACCTGCTTCCTATCATGCAGCAATGATCAGCGCGCAACATTTCCACTTTGAGCGTTTGTCAGCACCTGTACTGTAGATATGGCTCAAGATTTCCGTCGGGCCAGAGGATCTTAAAGATTCCTTGTATATGTGGCCTGACTTTCTTGCCATGTCGCCATCCCTTGTTGAAAAGGTCTTCCACTGAAGGAGCAGGATTAGCTAGCGCCGACTGATGAGAAGGATGAAGTCACCTTCGGCGAAGTGAGCACTATCACGACTCAAACACACCAAGCGGCTGCGCCGGCCTGCGGAGCAGTTGACAGGGTTCTCCAAAGAGAACTCGTCCAAGTTTAAGGATCCAAAAGATGAAGTTGACATAGTTAGCAAAGTCAGATAGACAACCAAGCCCTGGCTACACGTCCATAAAATATGATCTTGATATTTCAATGCGGTTGAGGTGCACCCTGCATGCTATCCGCATAGCACCATTGGCCATAACGAATTTATCAGGCCTGTCCACTTGCATGATGAGAAACCTCGTGTCGATTAAATCGATGCGAAGTGCATTGATGAGTGCAACCGAAGAAAACGTAACAAAGGCGGATCACAATCACTGCCCAATCTCAAAGATTGTATCCATGCTGCAAATGCTCTGCAGCCACGACAAGAACATGAGGAAAAGTGAATGCAAGGCGAGTCCAAAAAAGGAACCGAAAAGGAAGGCAAATAACATGAAGTTGCTTAATAAGCTCACTGCTTTCCATGCCCCCTCCATGCAGAGGGCCTCGCGGCCTTAATCGATGACGAACTCTCCCAGATTTGAACACATGATAGGATCCACTGACTACGGGCCAGACACTTCCTTCCGAATTACTCGTCCCTGCCGAATCTGTTCCGATCGTATCGCCTTCTTGAAGGCATATAAGAACCTTTAGGCCAGGAAAGCTGTTTCGGTTTCTAACTAGACTTTTCACTCGATTGTCCATCAAAATTTACCAAAATACTATACGCAATCCTCGCTGTCACTGTCGCTATTGCTGTTGTCCTGCTTGGAATGCTTGACAACCGCATGATCATGAAACTTGCTAGCATATTCCGAGTTGGTGTCAATTCTCCTTCAGATACGCCACAGTCAACATCTGCGGCGCGTCGGGCTCGACCCGCTACCCAATACTATTCAGCGCCATCGAAGTAAGTACCTTGATTGTCCACATTATCGTGATATTGAAGCTACTCTGGGCATGTACCAAGCTTGAAGCTGCCTTCTCCTGGTGTGCAAGACGACGGAGAATCAGAAGCTTACTATCCTCCGCTGACCGCTCCGCCAGAACCTGTGGGCTCATCAGTAGCACCCTTTCAAAGAAGGGAACGCATTTTATTTTATAACAAACATGAACCTTACTACGAATTCACGAATTTCTCGCCACACGATGTTGTCTACGCTGGGAAGAGATACCCAACTAGCGAGCATCTCTTCCAGTCTTTCAAAGTTTGTCAAAGATATTAATTTTCCGATATCTTTCTGATACTCTTGGATGCGGTGGAATAGTTTTTGGACTCCCAGCCAGCCATCGCGGAGCACATCCGCAAGTGTGGGGACAAGCCGAGTGCCGTGTTCGACGAAGCTCATCGTCACCAGAAGTGGGTTCGATCTGACTGGAGACAAGTAAATGTTGAGAAGGTAATTCGGAAGTTTACTGGCTGTCAGTACCTGACGGGGGGCTACCTTTGTTCTGACCTACAGATGGAAGCTACACTTCGACTCAAGTTCACTCAGCATACAGATCTAAAGGCCTTACTTCTTGGCACTGGTAATGCTGAACTAGTTGAGGTAAAACTAGGTGATTATGAGTATTTCTTCTGATCTCTGATATCGTGTATAGAACTCCCCAAAGGACTTCTTTTGGGGGATAGGTGCTGATGGCTCTGGACGCAACGAACTGGGAAAAGCACTTGAGAGAGTGCGCGACGAGCTTCGTAAGTACTCATCCACGAAATAACAGAAATATTTAATTACCAGTCGACGTGAAGGATACGATGACAAACCAAACAGGGTGCCCCCTGCCAGGCGTGACACGTCCCGATTTTCGTTGCAAGACCTGACGTCGCTGGTTGTGGCAGTAGCATCCCCCCAACCTTCGATCCAAGCATCGCAACGCCGCTCCGTTGTTTCCACGGGCATGGGAATCGGCCCACCCTCAACGGTACTACCTCAACATCAATTCCAAGCACCGCAACGTCTCTCCATTGTTCCCGCAGGCATGGCGATCAGCCCGCAGTCAGCATCTCCTCAGGACGCTGGGCTATGCGAGGTTCGTTGATGCTGTCCTTGGCTTCGCGCTTCTCTAACTTCTTTGTAGTTTTGCCAGCAGAAACCGAAATATCAGCACCATCCTTACTGTGGTAGGACATGCGCTTCGCAAGCAGCGACCATGTGCAATGTTAGTTTGCATTTCTGGCCAACGGTCTGTCGTTTCTGACCGAGTACATTCTTTAGCATTGTCGCAGCAAACCAAAGTACGGCAAACATCCTTATTGTTCAAGGACTTGCGCTGTGCAAGCCGGAAAGGCAACCTAGATTTGAAAAAATCTTCCCGTTTGGATAGTTGGTACTGTAAGATTATACTGCGTCGTGTGCGAGTCCATATTTGCTATCTATTACCGTTTCAATATGTCCGCGTCCACCTAATTACCGCCCTTCCATAAAGCCAGGTGTCGATCCCCTCAGGGTCAATTTGAGCATCAGCGACGAACAACTACCCTTGGTAGATGTTGCTCTGTTTCTTCTGTTCGCCAAATTCATTTCTAATCAATAAGAACACTTAATACCGGAATACAGCAGATCGATTGATTGAATCAGGTATTTAGAGTCTGGGGGCCGCACAGCGGCACGCACTTGCAATATGATAATGGAAAATATGTTATAGTACAAACAGTTGAAGATGAGTTAAAGAACTAAATCTACTTTATACGGACTATCCATTGTGCTCATTCAAGCATCCGAATGAAAGCATCGTCGAAGACCATCTGCGAGACATCAAATCGTTAGCTGCCTGAACAAAAAGAATGCAAAAATAAGACATGCCTCGGATGGGACTGAGGGCTCTACCTGGGCTGAATCGTTTGGGGCTTGTAGCACGAGGTAACTTCTTCTCTCCCAAAATCGGACTGACAGAAGGTGAAAGTACGCCACTTTTGTTGACAGGCAGGTTCATATCGGAACCCAAAGCCTCTCGGGCGCCTTGTACAGGTGACGGAGGGCGAGAAAGAACCATCGCAATGGTGTCATGATACCCGGCCTCATCGAGTCCGCCGCGAATGGTGCTCTTATTGCTGCGTCGTCCACGTGTTTGTGGTGTCAATGCATCGGGCAGCTTCGTTCGCGTGTGCGGTGCATCAATGGCACCAGCCTTTCGACTGCGAGAAGAAGAATAAGGGTCCTTCGCATGGACCTTTCGCGTTGGGTCGCACGAGCCGCCCGATGGGGCGTCCAAGTCCATGATCGACTTGGACCGACCGCGAACCTTTTTCGAGGATTTAATGAGTGGCGAAGACTCCGTGGAAGAGTGTCCAAGTTCTTTCGCCCTTTGGCAGTGCCCATACAAAATACTGATGGCGTCAGTCATGTCGCCAATGTTGTGGATGTGCAAATGGCATTTGAGCGCTTCAAGATCGCGAAGGACATTGGTGCATCCAGGACGTTCACAGCGGATCATGGCTCCAGGAGTGTAGTGGCCGGTCTGAACTATTTCCAATCCCTGAAGCTGCTATACAGACATCAGTACGGAGTAGCATGGGGTGTGAGTAGTGCTTACTGCCTGCGCTACGCCTTCCAGGTCATGATGAAGCAGACGAATCTCTGGCTCATGACGCTTCTCAAGATCGATCGTGAATTGCCCGTCGTCAGTTACGGTATGGGTGCATGTCGAATCCCTGTTGTTAGGAATAACGGGAAGTTCTTTTGCAGTGTTGAGGGGGCAGACGTTTGTAGTCCCTTGGTCCTCGATTGTCTTATTTCGTTGTAGGTATTCCTGGACAATTCTCTGGGCCTCCGTTACTCCGTCGGATTGCTTTTGATGTTTCTCGTCGAGTTCCTGAGCCTTGGATAGAACGCTATCGCTTGGCTTGGGATCTGCAGCACATGCCACGGGTCCAGTAGTAGACTCCCATGCAGATACGAAATCGGTGAGAAGGCTTGCATCGTCGTCGGCATCCTCCTCATCGAGAGACATGGATGACCCCTCTACAATTTGATCGGGGATAAAGATGGCGTATCTACGAATTTCTGCCTTGGAGTCGTCGAATCTATCGACGCCTGTGGCAGTAGTTGATTCTGAGTTTGACATGATTAACTGGCAAAAGTAAAAGCAGGCAGCACAGAGAAAAGCAGGGAAAGAGGAGGATGTGGTGAGGTACTCCATGAAGGATAATAGGTGGTGTTTTATACGCGCAAGAATGTGGACCGCCGACGCTTTTGTGGATGTGGACGCTCTAAGTTGGTGGGCGGACACAGGCTATTTGTTGCAAAGTTTCAATGACCCCCATTTTGGGCATGGCCCAGTTCTAGGGTAGTTGACGCACCTCAGCCTTCAGGGCCGGCTTCTAAGGAGTACAAACCAAACCCTGGCTGTATAGTGAAAGGTTCAGAGGTCTAGAGGCATTCAAGAAGGCGATACGATCGGAACAGACTCAGCAGGGACGAGTATATCTGATTGAAACGTCTGGCCCATACCATTAACGGATCCTGCTATCATGTGTTGCATCCTGGGAGACTTCATCATCGATGAAGGCCGCGAGACACTCTGTATGGAAAGCAGCGAGTTTGTTTATCAGGTAACTTCCTCTTATTTACCTTCCTTCGCTTTGCGTTCACTTCTCCTCTGATCATGCCACATGTTCTTGGCTGCAGAGCATCTACTTATTAAGCAGCAACCCAGCCACAGCGTCAGAAGCAAAACTCACGTGAAGGGAGTGGCAAAGCTTGGCAGAAGTCTGGACTAGCAGTCTCAGATGTAACTAAGATATGATAACATTTATAGCTTGAGTTCAATAGGAAATGCATTGCGGAGACACTGATAACTCACCAGGCGCTGGAATCCAGGCTCGAGTCTCCCTCTTGTACAAATGCAACTCCTCCTCTGCGCCTATTTAACCGGCAACCTAGTAGCCTAGTAGGACTCGCCCATAGTCTGCATGGGCCATGTAGCACTCGATCATCGAATTATACCAGCGAACTGTCGTTTCCTCTTCTGTGCTTCCATTTCAAAGGTGTTGGTTCTTTCTGGCCGAGCGCTCGAGCGCTCAGGAACCGGCACTGCATGTCCAGCTGAGTGATGTACCGATAGCTTGCCCGTTTCTTCCTCCCATTTTCATTCTCCCTCACTGCCAGCATTACTGTTGGACGTCTCAGAATCGAGGCGCGACTCAAACAACAAAAAAACCTAAATGGCTGAAGGAATTGACCAGCACAAGAGAACCCATGATGCAAACAAGGACAAACATCGCATCCCATGACCGAATCACGAGGAGGTTCAGACCCTGCCACTCATTCCCCCATTTCCACTCCCAAGACTTACTACATTTACATCATAATATTCGTCCCATCATTTAGTCATTCGTTCACTAATAATACCAGTTTCATATACTATCATGCGTATAAAGGTCGCTTCAGCCCACATATCGAGTTTTCCTGCCCACCAGCGGCAAACTTGAACTCGCCAGCGTTCGAACCGAGCTACCCAGCTCCCAGCCCAACCACTGTGTGTCTGACCTCAATCCATTTGCGATGGACGAAGCTGCAAAGTAAAACCCTACGTGATCATTCTTTTTGCGAAATTCTATCAAGATGTATTTTTAAGGTTGGTACGTCCATCACGAGGAGGCGTCCCGCACTACTCGGATGTGATAAGGGTTCAGAGCGCTTAACTATCACGGTTATATTTACCCTCCCAGTTCTAGAACATGCCACGGAGCTGCCTGCAGGTAAGTCTTAATATATAATGACGGACAATCCGATGAGAAACTCAAAACTACTGACTTGTTTTAAATGCCTCCATTGCCAGTGCTTTCGCCAATTGCTGATTCTAGAAAATTCAATCTCAATGCTTCTGCTGTGGCCGGTTTCTTCGGTGGTGAGGAAGCTATCACTGCCATGGCTACTGTGCACCTGTATAGGGGGCGCAGATGGCTCGGCTGGTACAACTCCCCCGGCAGCTACATTATAGCCAAGGAGTTTGGCAGGATATCCGGGTCAAGATTTTGGAATGGTCTTTTTCCTGGCTCCAACCATTCTCCAGTTGTTGCATTCAAACTGGACGGGAAGACTGGCCCGAAATATGTGGCGTCACACTCAGGAACTGTCATGCAGCAGACAGGGCACCTTGCACATCTCCTGACGCAGGGGACAGAAAACTCGGATGTAGTGCCAACTTCTCTTCCTACCTCACGACATGCTACAATTTCACGTATCTCTATCGTCACTGTCCCTGAAATCACATATGGCAACCTTCATGTGCAGACCATGAGCATTCACCACACCGTCTTTGCCAGCTTCCCTATCCTGGTCAGCGTCTGTACATGCATCTTTTCCGCCTTATTCGCAGACTGGTACTGCTTTGCGATGATTCTCCTCGGAATTATTTCTAGCGGTGTCACGTGTTTTGTCATTGGTTCTGGAGACCTTAATATCGAGACGGTCAAGACTCCAGCGGAGGGTTGCCCTCCAGGAGACGGGATGCTCTTGATGAAGAATAACGTCATCATCTTGAAGGGAGAGGAAAAGGATGTGAATGTAATCACGAAGGGGAAATTTGTGCTAAAGCTGAAAGGAGAACCAGAGTATACAGCTGTTGGGCTGTGCTCGCTGCTCCTTGAGGTGCAGTTTCTGCTGCAGCTCCTCCTCATTCCCCAGGGATCGCTGATTGGTCAGACCATGTTCCTGACTTCAATAATTGCATCCTGGGCGTACAACTCCTTCCTCGCGTCCCTGGACGAGGAAAAACTACAACGGAAACTGTTTTACGACCATATTGGACTTCAGCAGCTAACTGTGCTTAGTTTTGAAGCTAGCACTCGGACCAGCATGGCTGCATTCACATGCTTCGTTCTCTGCAAAGATTTACTAAGGCCTCTTCGGGGTATCAAGCCGATGAACATTCTGTTGGAGTTGGTGCCCAACGAGACGCCAGTGTGGCAGAAGTGGAGGGAGCAAGTGGTGGCTCAGGTCGAGAAAAAAGAGGGCGAAATGATTGATTTCCAATCTGAAGATGTTGATATGTCAGGGCTTGACGAGCATGACCAGGCACTTTTGAAAGACCTCCTGAAGGATGCGAAGCATGCGTACGATGGTTACATACGGATGAGCGACGACCGACGATCGTTGAAAAATACCAAATCGTCCTAATACCACCACAATACGGTATTTCTTTGTCACCTATCCGATACGACGAACTATGTGATCTAAATTTTGCGAAAGGGTTCTACATGTACGTCCTAGATTATGGAGTTGCATCCCCATGGTAGCAGTAGCAGTGTTAATTAACTTGTTGCTCTTCAAGCTTAAGCAAGGTGCCAGTGGTATAACACATAGCCAATAGCCATTGCCTGCACAATCGCAACGAGCATTTTGGGAGGCGAATGTATATAGCGAAGTGCAGCATGATACTGTATATATGGAACAAGAGACGCTCAGTTTCAATCTGGGAGCTTTTGCTGTGCGCTGTACTTTCGGCAGATGTTGTTCTGTTTCTGCTGTTCGCTAAACTCGTTTCCAATCAATAAGAACGTAGGAATACAGATCAGGGAATCGAATCAAAAAGTCAGGTATTTGGCTGGTCTACATCACGGGAAGAGCCTGGGAGCCGCACAGCGGCACCCACTTGTAACATGATAATAGAAAGTACGCTACTGCTATGTTACAGTACAAACAATTGAAGATGAGTGAAAGATCTAAATCTACTTTGCACGGACTATTCATTGTGCTCATTCATGCATCCGCATGAAAACACTCGTCGAAGACCATCTGCGAGACATCAAACGTTAGCTGCCCGAAAAAAAGAATGCAAAAATAAGACATGCCTCGGATGGGACTAAGAGCTCTAACTGGGCTGAATCGTTTGGGGCTCGTCGCACGAGGTAACTCCTTTTCTCTAAAAGTCGGGCTCGCAGGAGGAGAAAGTACGCCGCTTTTGTTGACAGGCAGGTTCATATCGAAACCTAAAGCCTCTTGGGCGTCCTGTACAGGCAACTGAGGGCAGGAAAGGACCATCGCAATGGTGTCATGATACCCGGCCTCATTGAGTCCGCCGCGAATAGTGCTCCTATGGCTGCGTCGCCCACGTGTTTTTGGTGTCGATGCATTCGATTTCATATGAGTGGCACTGGGCTTTCGACTGCGATGAGGTGAATAAAGGTCCTTCGCATGAACCTTTCGCGTTGTGTGTATATCACACGGCTGGCCCAATGTGGCGTCCGAGTTCATGAACGATTTGGACCGATTGCGAACCTTTCTTGAGGATTTATTAAGTGGCGAAGACTCCGTGGAAGAGTGTCCAGGTTCCTTTGTCCTTTGGGATTGCGCAGACAAAACACTTATGGCATCGATCATATCGCCAATGTTGTGGATGTGCAAATGACGTTTGAGCGCGTCAATATCGCGAAGGACATCAGTGCATCCAGAATGTGAACAATGAATTATGGTTCCAGGAGTGTAGTGACCAGCCTGAACCATTTCCAATGCCTGAAGCTGCTATACGGACATCAGTATGAAGTAGCATGGGGTGTGAGTAGTGCTTACCGCCTGCGCTATGCCTTCCGGGTCATGATGAAGCAGACGAATCTCTGGCTCGGGACGCTTCTCAAGATCAATCGTGGATTGACCATCGTCGGTTACGGTGGTGTATGTCGAGTCCCTGTTGTTAGGAGTAACGGGAAGTTCTTTGACAGTGTCGATGGGGCAGACATTTGTAGTCCCTTGGTCCTCGATTGCCTTGCTTCGTTGTAGGTATTCCTGGACGATTCTCTGGGCCTCCGTCACTCCGTCAGGATGCTCTTGATGTTTCTTGTCGAGTTCCTGAGCCTCGGATAGAACGACGTCGCTTGACTTGGGATTTGCAGCGCATGCCACAGGTTCAGCAGTAAACTCCCATGCAGATACGAAATCGGTGTAAAGGCTTGCATCGTCCTCCTCCTCATCGAGAGACAGGAATGACATCCCCTCTACAATTTGATAAGGGATGAAGGTGGCGTATCTACGAGTGTCTGCCTTGGAGCCGTCGAATCCATCGACGCCCGTGGCAGTAGTTGATTCTGAGTTTGACATGATTAACTGGCAAAAGTAAAAGCAGGCAGCACAGAGAAAAGCAGGGAAAGAGGAGAATGGTGAGGTACTCCATGAAGGATAATAGGTGGTATTTTATACGCGCAAGAATGTGGACCGTCGACGCTTTTGTGGATGTGGAGTCTGGACGCTTTGAGTTGGTGGACACTCAAACTGTGCTTTGCTTTGGTAGCCCACTGCAAAGTTTTAATGATCCCCATTTCGGGCATAACCCAGTTCTAGGGTTAGGGTCCCCTTCCCAACAGCTCGGTTCGAGACTTTGAAGTCAACCAACCGCTGGCACCAAGTTCGACATGTCAGTGATCTGTACTTCCTTCCCCCCGATAATCCGTGTCGGAGCTCACTCGTTAATGAAGCCAATGTATAGTTCGTATCGTAGAATTCATGGATGGAACAGTGTAATTAACACCAGCCAAGCTCGCTCCTTCGTTGCACTGGCAGCTTCGCCTAGGTCTTCATCCCATGCTACCAACAGAAATTCACGCTCTGTTCACACGAATGCACGACTTCAACCGGCATATCCTGGCCACATACCACTCACCCCATTCGAAACCGGAGTTCTCGCAGTTGGCTCTGCACTCATGTCTCTCATAGATACTCGTCGCGCGGGCAAGCACTTCCTAATCTTTATAGTGGGTACATTTTGCTGACAAGTCCATTAGACATGGTTGCAGCTTGCGGAGAAACCACTGCTGGGCCAACGCTGGTAAAGTTGAGGGATACAATGTTGGAGTCTCCAGAGGGTCGGCGCATTCTCAAAGAAATGCCACGTATCAATTCGCAGACCTTGGACTGGGAGAAGTTGCGGTCCCTCTCAGAGAACACCTTTGGACGTGCTTATGTGAGGTGGCTTGACGCTTGTAAGGTCACACCTGATTCTCGAGAGCCCGTGGGGTCATTTTATTCCACGCTATGTATACCAGATGCTCACCATTGAGGACCCAGGTACACTATATCGATGACCCAGAGCTTGCATATGTCATGCAGCGCTATCGCGAGACGCACGACTTGTACCACGCCCTCTTTGGATTTAAAGTCTCCGCCCTTCCCGAACTTGCACTCAAAGCGTTTGAGTTCACGAATCTAGGCTTTCCCATGACTGCATTATCCCTGGGAGCCTCAATAAGACTCAAGTCACCTCAGCGGGCCCGACTTTGGGGGGAATTCATTCCTTGGGCTGCGAGATGCGGGAGTCATGCGAGGTGCTTGCTTACAGTGTATTGGGAGGAGAGATGGGGACAGGATCTGGACGAAATGAAGAAGGAATTTGGTGTCTGGGATCCACCTGCAGGACTTACCATCCCGCGAGCCTCGCGTATTGACTTCCCCTGATACACACCGGCATGGCGATAAGTAATTGACATCTTTTTTTGGCCGTTTCGCGGGTCCTGTGGAGCTTCAGCATGTGGAACAGATAAATGTATGTCTCTTATTTCCCGTTGTCAACTTTTTGAGTCTGTGCACCGACACGGTTATAGGATCCAGAACGCCTGGACTCTGGTACGCTGTACTATTATATTTAAGCTTACATGGAGGTAGCCCGGCTCTAGGGAGGGAAGCTTCTATGAGCTAGAAACATCCTGGCACCTGTATCCAAATAGGTGCATGAAATTCTTTTCTTTTCCTGCTACTAAGCTTGCATTGAACACAACGTTAAAACGTGCAAATACTCATTTCCTCTGCTCGTTTCTCGTGTTCAGCACCCTTCACAGCAACCTAGACTCTTATCCCAAGTTCCTACACGGCAATAGCCACCATCACGACTATGAGTAACGACCATCCTGGATCAGTATTACACTGCTAGTGTGACTCATGATTGCCACCTCATTGAAATTGCAAACAGCCATGACAAAGTCTGTGACCTTGAGCAACAGATGCCGGCCACTCACTGCAGAAAAACGCAGATTACGTCTAGGACACATCGCACGAATCTAGACATTCGCATCACATTCGTCGCACATAACGCTCACATCACACTAGCAGCAGTGCTGGAACTTCATACTAATCCTCTCACTATGACCAAATCCAAGGTGAGATCACCAACAATGTGATTATATATAACGCAGGTTTACCGTGAGATATAGGACTTTAGGAAGTTGACCATGACCCAGGCCAGAAGAAGGTGGCCTAGTAATAATAAAAGAATGACAGCGTTAGATCAGGGTTAAATCGTTATTAGTTACTATGGAAGTGACCATACCTCTTGAACGAGTGTGATAGCATGGTGGTACACCACAAGAGCGAATGATGCTAGAGCCAATTGCCTAGCAGAAATGCTCGCTGACTGCGCCTATGCGGACATGACAAGTGTCGGATGCCTTCAAGTGCCAAGGACCCTTTGCTGAATCGCATCGAGGAAGGGTGGATTGACGTTATATATCACATATCCATCAAGGGGAGAAGAAGCTGATGGCACTGCATCTCAAATGCGTCTGACCTGCTCAGAAAAGAGAAAGAAAGGATAGCATGAATCTTACATCAAACCATACCTTTAGGGTGCATTACGTTGATTGCGGGGCGTTTATGTCGTAATACAAAGTAAAGGACGTGCTCTGCATATATTGTCATGTAATGGTATGCTATAAGACAATATCACTCTCTCACCAGTCCTCTGGCAAAGGTCTAAGACAGGACACCCAAAGTCTCTTGAGAATCACTGATGCGGGGTCCGTGTCTGAAGAAGCAGGAGTGTGACATATATGTACCACTTGTCATCAACCATCCACCGATAGGAGCCATCAGCGGACATCACTCGATATAGCACACGAGTCCTATAAATCCCGTACTCAAAGCATAAGCTAAAAATGTATAGTTGAAACTTTGGATTGAAACGAGGAGCGAATAACCGTACTTACCTCAGACCGGCGAAACGAGGACATCTCTGAAAGTCTGAGCCAAAGTCTGGGACACGGCAGGCCCATCGGCACCCCCAAGCGAAGTATGAAAGTTGCTGTGTCCGTCACTGTGTCTCACGTTTGCTCACTGTCTGTAACAGCACCAAAGACTTACTTACATGGACGCTGGGAACTCTTTTTCTGCCATGTAATAGCACAGTGCGCTTGCTGCTATATCATATATTGATCTCGGCCGGTTCTTGCAATGTGCTAGCTTCCTGACAAGCACGAAGAACATCGTTGGCCAAGTGTTCTAGCTCGGCGCAGATTCAGCCTCCGCGGTCTCCTTTGGTCCATTGGACTGAACCATAATGCTTGCAAGAAGCTAAGTCTCAATATCGTAAACGTAGGTCGGTAATCGGGAAAACGTTACACTTGTGCAGAATGTAACGTGCCAGTGGCACTAAATCACGTTGAGTTTGAAAATAGAGAATCGTTGCATCGTATGGACCAGTCCAAAACAGGGCCTGTAGTACGATAGCCTGAACCTAACATGAAGGACGCATCAACGTGGTAGAGTGAAAGAACCAGATGAATGCCATATGAATTCCATCCAGACTCCAACTTCATGTTGATACGGCTGGAAAGTTGTTGGTCCAGAATTCAAGGAAGAAGTGAACTGTAGTATTGCCAGTGGAACACTTGCACTTGCCGCGAAGCACGGATTCGAATGTCCGATCAGTGTTTGGTTCCAAACATCCACTAGCGCGTGGTGCTGAAATAGAATCGGAACATGATGTTCTTATGCTGCTGTCCTTGTCACAAATCTGGTATTTAAACTTTGATTATCAGAACTGTTTATATCTGCAAAAACCAAGTTCGTCAGTGATAATACTCCGAGGTTGGATAGATCAAATAACTGCAGCTATTGGTATAAATGAGATAAGGTCTTGAGCCACTTTCTGGACACATTTGCCCGCATGTCGACCAGTGAAGTTCTCCCCCAAGGTGCAGGCTATGGCGTCGGTGAGTTGGTTTCTAATTCACATGTTTTAAACACTCATCTCCAATAACATTG